TGCTGTGCACAACCATTTTAAGCTGCCCTACCTTAAGAGAGCAAACTGAGCACGTATTAGCATGCTGAGGTTTTTTTTTTAAATATGTTATTCTTGAATATATTTATTGCAGAAAAATCAAGAAGAAATCCAGAGAGGAAAGCAGAAACTTAGGTGACTTCTTTGGTTAGAAGCTTGGTCTCAACACAAGTGCCAGTCCTACTTACTCTTATACTAAGAATAACGGCAATGGTCCAAGATCCAAGACAACCATCAGCTCTGCCAGTGATTCACCGTCTCATTGCCCCCAGAGAGAGTGTTCTGATCACAAAAAACCTTTGTTATAAAGGCACTGAAATGCCTGCCTTAGACCTCTAAAAGATCCAGAACATGGATTTTTAAACATTTTCCTATCAGTTAAATATAGTACGACCAAACCAATAAACAAACCTCAGCATGTCAATACATTCTATTTTGAGGCACCAAGCTACTATTTGTGGAAGCGAACCCATCACATCAGCATCTCAGTTTTGCTTAACAATTAGCAGCCCAAAAAAAGACTCCCAGAACAGCATCTGCCCCAAATCTTTCATCCCTACCATATTTCAGTTTATAAAAACATTGAACAGGTGAGTCAATAACCAATTTCAGAGCCCACATGGGAAGGTCAATAAAATAAGAGAGAGACAGACAAGAAATTCCAGCCTTATCCACTATATTGGAATGGATTATCCAGTTACAGATTGCTCTGAGTTTGTTTTGTGGGGGTGGGGTTTTTTTTTCTTTGTTTGGGTTTTTTTTTCTTTGTTTGGGTTTTTTTGGGTTTTGTTTTTTAGGGATTTTTTTTTTGGGGGGGAGGGGTTCCATGTTAAATTAATTTAAAAAAAATCAATTGGTAAAGCACGTTCTGTGTTAAACAGAACTTTATTTCTGGTCAAAATCGATAATGCAATCTGATTTATGGAAACCCTGTGTTATTGTGAGACTGTTACAATCCCATGGAACTCTTAAAATGCCAGTACATCAAGCAAACCAAGACAACCCATAAATTCCAGTATAAACTCCTAGTTACTCCTTATTTTACTGTATTTACATTTATGTGCTTATTTGTACCCAAAGTAAAGGTAAACTTCCAAGACACCCTTCCCACTTCCCCCATATTTACTCTTACAACAGGAAACATTTATTTCCTACTCTGTAATTTTACACATTAATTACAGAACCAATGCCATGGTATTGGAAGCAGCTTCATGACTAACTTGGAGATAACACACAACACTTCATTTATAAGTCTGGAAAAAGTGTCACACATTCTTAACTCAACTGGCTTAATAAAGGCAGAAAGAGCGACAGTTGTTGGGGGGAAAAAACCAAGTTTCATCCTTGCTTACCTTGCTCTGTTATATATCATTGCCTCATTGTCATCCAGCACAGTGGACAGCATATCCAGATCACGAAACATTTTCAGCATGTAGTCTGTAAATTTTTGTCCTGCAGCTCTCTCCACAACAGCACTTAAGAGAGTAAAGCCATATGTTGAGTACAAGAACTGACTGCCTTGAAGAAACACAAGGGGAAAGGGAAAAAAACCCATGAATGGCGTGATGCTTAAATGGAATCACAGCTACATATAGGAATGAATAACCAATTAGCAGATTAACTCCCCACTCGCAGTTTAATATGATGTGAATCACAAGTTTATGACACTAAACCCTAGGAAATTCTGTACAAAGCCCCCACACAAACACTTTACTGGACTCCACCATCCTTAAAACAGATAAAACTATTTGAAACACATTATCTCCCCAGAAGAGCACACTCTGGTCTAAATTAATAGAAACTCACCTGGTTTAAAGAATAAAGGATCATTTTTAAATATCTTCAGTGAGTCAATCACACTTTCAAATTTTTCCTTCAAGTAATACTCTTCCTGCTCAAACTCCTTGTCCCTCCTGCCAGGTTTCGAGTTCCTAGTTCTCGTCTCACCGTCCTGTTCCTTCCTTGGTTTGGCAGAATCAGGTTTTTCAGTCCCTTTGCCTTCTCTTTGTTCTTTATCCTGGTGGGGTTTGGTCGGCCTCAGTGCTCTGTTTGCCTTTTCCTTCTCTTCTTTCACTTTCGCGATGTCTTTTTCGTAGTGGCGGATCCCACTCAGATGTGAAACCAACAGTCTGGTCGTAATAGTGACCTGGGACACAGGATAACATGAGCTCCCTTCATTAAAACACATGCCCCAAAATCACCCAACAAGGTAAATTCACCACGATAAGGAATAGGTGAGACCTTTTAAATATCTGTATTAAACCCGGTAAAAATATATACATATACACTTGATATAAAACCACAGGCCTGAATTTTCAGCACTGCTTTTCTGAGCAGCAACATCAGCACTTGTCTAAATGATTTTTAGTGCTTTACAGGAATAGGTCCAGATGCAGGCACCTGTACACAGACAGCTATGCAATGACAAGAACAGAAATAAAAAAAACCCAAACCACTTAATTAATTGTTACCGATAAACAATTACATACCTTTTCGCCCTCGTAGACTTTTTCTGGAAATTCAGGGACGTATTTCTGCACTGGAGCATCTAAATCCAGTTTCCCCTCTTCCCACAGTTTAGCCACAGCCATCATGGTGAGACACTTGCTAATGCTGGCGATTCTCATGATGGTCTCTGGCTTACACAGGACACGGTTCTCCACGTCAGCATAGCCCAGACCTTTGGGAAAACACAACACTCTGGTAGGTGCTTTGCACAGACACAGGCTGAATTAATTATTTGCAGTGATTTACTGGCCCCTTCAATGTTTTTCCTCCAGCTAAGCTGGGATGTGAAGCATTGGACTATGGCAGCTCCTGCTTCAATCAAGTTAATAACTTTTTATTGTAGTAGACTTTTTTCTTCACATTCTATAAAGGATAAAATGAAATATGTTGCCATTTACTGCTATCATTTAAGCTGTAACCAACATATTGGGTTTTTGAAACTCATGAAAATGTTTCTGAAAACAGAGGGTTTTTTTACATCAAATGTCTATGCAATAAGAGCAGTACTAACAGACTCTGCTTAAACCTAAACTGTGTAATCAGAACAATCACTTGCAATTTCTGAAAGGATGACACCTGTTAAATCCTTCCTAGGAAAAATCTGCATCTCAGCCCACAGGTCACCAAATGTGAACCATTTTTATTTTGACTGTTAAGTCCCTGTGGGGAGAACATTTCTTTACCTCCTACATACAGTTCTACCAGACAAATTATCTATTGATTGGAGTGTCTGAATTGTTAATTTTTAAAATGTTCATCAGCTCTCCACAACAGGCACAACTACTCCCCCCATACACTGACCTTCTGACCAGACTTCCTTTCCATCCACAGAAACTCCAACGATTATACCTGGGATTCCTGCTTCATCCTGTCAAAAAACACCAGACAGAGCACATTTAAAACTGCTTTTGCAATGCTGTCATTTTTATCCAGCCTCTGGGAAAAACATACAACAGTAACCACATAAATAATTTCTTTAATAACTCAAGCCAGTTAGGGAACAGGACATGTAAGATGAACTGAACAGAAACAAAACATGACAGAGCTAATATGCAACAGGCAAACTGCATCACCTATCGGCAAGCAGCACTTCAAAGAAGCTTCAACTGGAGTTTCAAAGTAACCACAACGTACTTTTTAAACACAATCTCAGAATGTGCTGAGTTGGAAGGGACCCACAAGGATCATGCCATCCAACCCTCAGCCCTGCACAGGCCCATCCCCAGCGACTGTCCCACCCTGTATCCCAGAGGATCATCCAGACCCTCCTGGAGCTCTGGCAGCCTTGGGGCTGTGCCCACTGCCCTGGGGAGCCTGTTCAGTGCCAACCACCCTCTGGGGGAAGAACCTTTCCCTGAGATCCACCCTGAGCCTGCCCTGACACAGCTCCAGCCATTCCCTGGGGGCTGTCCCTGCTCCCCCCAGAGCAGAGCTCAGTCCTGCCCCTCCTCTGACTGCAGTGAGGTCTCCCCTCAGTCTCCTCCACCTGAACACCCCCAGTGCCCTCACACGGCTCTTGCCTGTCCTCCCCTCAGCCTTTAGGGCCGCCCCCGCTCGCAGTGCCCCACACTGTGCCACAGCCCACAGCCCCGCATGGACCCGGCCCGAGCAGCACCAGCCCGGGCAGCGCTCCCCTCACACCTTGACCCTCCGCAGCAGGTCCCTGCTCCGCTCCACGGCCGCGCCGAAGCCCCGCGGGGGCGGCGGCTCCTCCTCCCGCCCTCCGTCCGCCTCGCCCCGGACCCCCACGGCCAGCCCCAGCGCCAGCCCCCAGCCCCACGGCCGGGCCCTGGGGACCTGCCCGGGCCGCGCCGCCGCCCGGCACATCGACCGGCACAGCACGGCCCGGCTTGGCAGTGTCCGGCTCGGCAGAGCCCGGCTCAGGGCCCGGCACAGCCCCGCCATGGCCGGGCCGGACACGGCACCGCCCGGGCACAGGCACCGCCAGCCGCGCCAGAGCGCATCGAGCGCCGCGCCTGAGGGAGAGCGCGGAGACACCGGCACGGCTGAGCGGGGCAGGTACGGGGGAGGAACAGGGGTTATACACCGGCTGGACACGGGTTATACACGGAATCAAAGATCCCTTAAGTCGCAAAAGCCCACCAGGATCTCCGAGTCCCCCCTGTGCCCCGTCCCCACCTTGTCCCCAGCCCAGAGCACTGAGTGCCACGGCCAGGCCTGCCTTGGACACCTCCAGGGCTGGGCACTCCAAACCTCCCTGGGCAGCCCCTGCCAAGGCCTGACCACCCTTTCCAGCAACAAATTCCTGCTGATGTCCAACCTGTCCCCTGGCACAGCCTGAGGCCGTTCCCTCTCCTCCTGTCCCTGTTCCCTGGGAGCAGAGCCTGACCCCCCCGGCTCCCCCCTCCTGTCAGGGATTGCAGAGCCAGAAGGTCC